TCTTCTTCTTCTTCTTCTTCTTCTTCTTCTTCTTCTTCTTCTTCTTCTTCTTCTTCTTCTTCTTCTTTTTTTTCTGGTGCTGGGGATTGAACTCAGGACCCTACACTTGCCAGGCAAGCGTTTATTCTACTGAGCTATCTCCCCAGCCCTAAAGTATTTTCTTAAAGCAGAATAGCTGAAGTTACCTGAAAGTTCATGATGTTTACTTAACAATTCTATTTCTTTTCGTTTTTTTTTTTTTTTTTTTTGCGGAACCAGGGAATGAACTCAGGCCCTTGTACTTGCCAGGCAAGTGCTTATTCTACTGAGCCATTTCCCCAGTCCCCCCCCCTTTTTTTTTAAAAATCTATTTGTTTTCTGCTTCCCTCATCATACCTTTTTTCTTAAAAATTATACAGCATAGCAATTTCCACCTTATTGGAGAATCATCCATCTAGGTCGGATTGTGGGCTTCATCTATTACATTAGCTCCCTACATCTTGACAGAATCTGCTGGGTTGGTTTGGAGACTCAAACACGGTGCATTGCAGACTGGTTGCAGGAATACGCAAGATAGCCTCTGGGAGATTTGAATTAGCATTTCAGTGGTAGCAGTAGGTACAAGTTGTGTGTGTGTGTTTGTTATTGTTGTTTTAGCTTCATGGCCGAGGCACCATGTTGGGCATATTTTGGGACTGAATTTGAATGAAAATGCAGTTGTAAAATTAGCTTTTAGGAAGCTCATTACCTATTCAAGTGGACTTTGCAGGGCCACCACTGGAGAGGTTTCCTTTTATTTTTTGTCGTGGAGGAAAAATTCGATGAATCTAAAAGTGTCCACCAGCTCCTAAAATCCATAATCTTCCAAATCGAATAGACATTTCAAAATTTGCCTGTTATTTGCCACCAAGCGTTGGCCTTTTGCTCCAGTCTCTCCCCCACTTTCTCTTCCTGTGCCTTCCCCCACTCCCTACGAGGTTCTCTATTCAATCCTAATCTGTCACATCTTGGTTTAACTCTTTTCATTCACTGGTTCCAGCTTTCCATGTACCTTCTCGACTTGCAGCTTTTCTTCTTTCTCAAACTCACATCCTCCTTCCTTGTCTTTCGTTCCCTCTCTTTCTCATGTGCCCTCTTGGCTCTCTTCATTGCTCTTTCTACTTCATTTTCTGTCCTCTCATCCCCCGACCACGGCGTCCCCCTCCTTCCCGCTCTCTGTCTTACCCTAGTTTGGAAATGCAGCAGACCTTTGAGCCTGCTACCATTGGATCCGAGAGGCTGTCACTCTGCGGGAAGAGGAGTTCGGATTGGTTGGTGTGGGTGGGTGGGTACTGCACTGACTATAAAAGGTGGAACCGACAGAGGTACTAGGAGCTCCTCCGCCAGGACTGGGTCGCAGGGGTCCCAGCCTGGTAGCTGAGCCTGAGGTCCGCAAGCGCTGGCAGGAGAGCTGCAGCTGTGTGCACCAGCTTGCTACCTCTGCCCAGCCGAGTTCTTACCCTTGAAGCCTGCGACTCTCAACTGCTGTCCACGCGTCCCCAGGGACCCCGCGCCTCACCTGTGTACCGACCGCCGCGATGAGTGAGGTGAGCGGCGTGGTCCCCGTGCTCGGGTGGGCGAGGCAGCAGTGGCGGGGAGACTCTGGGGACGCCCCCTGGCCCTCTCAGGAAGCTCCTAACTCGGGGCATTGTGAAGTGGTTGCCAAAGGGGGGTGCTTTAAGTCTCCCAAACGGAGGTGGCACATTTGGGGTGACTGGAGTTGACTGTAGAGGAAGGGAAATGAGCTCCCAGGTGAGAAGTCATCTCTTCGGGGGGCTGTCCTTGTTTGTCTTGCTGCTCCGGGCTTGTGCTGGATTGCTTCTCTCCCCTCTTGGTGTCCCCCTTCCCTCTTCTAGAGTTGTGTTGCTTTCGCATTGCTGAGGTAGAACCCACTGGGGCTCCAGCCCTGGAGCCCTGGGGTGGCCACTGTCCCACCTGTTGGGAAAGTAGCATCTCTCACACCTTCGGCCAGGAACATTGGAGGGACCATTTCTGGTATTAGAAACCCTGCTGTGGAGACATGTTCAGCTCCTGAGGAGATGTCTCCATCCAGAGTAGACCTCCCTCTGCAATGCTTGTTCGCTCTAAGTCTTCAAGGCAGGCTCTGTGGGGGTTCAAGGAGCCTGACCTGGTCCTTCAGCTGATTTGCTCTTTTCAAAGAACACTGTCCATGGTGGGGGTTAAAGCAGAGACTTTGGAAAGACTCCATCTGTCAACTGTACTTGTAATCTCATGGCAAGGTACAATCTCATATTCTGCAACAAGGATTGCCCTTCCTAAGTGAAGTTGATCTGGACAGTGGCATCACAAGCCTGTCATCCGCTGAGCTTCTCCTGGTACCCAGACCTTTGCGTTCAGTCCGGTTTCTCGGCTCCACACCAGACCCAAGCTCATCTACTGACTAGCTATGTGGCCTTAGGCAAATTATAGAACTTTTATATGCTTCATCTTTTTAATCTGTAAAATGAGTTGTTTTAATGATTAAGTGAGATGTGCAAAATACTTGGAAAAGTACCTGGCACAGAGCAGACACTCAATTTATGTTAGCGATTATCTCCCTCTCTCTCTCTCTCTGTGTGTGTGTGTGTGTGTGTGTGTGTGTGTGTGTACTTTTTACTGTTAGAGTATTACCAAAAACTAGCATAGGAATTCCCAAGGACAGCAGGTTAGTGAAGAATCCCAGAGGCTGGGTCTGAGTTCAGATACTAAAGATGAAGATTTTCAGTAGGAGTTCTGTTGGCTCCCACCAAGTCACTGCTGTGTCCACTAGACATGGCAATTTTCCACTTGGAAAATTCAGTGAGTCTTGGGGGCTGCAGAAGAAACAAAGTGGTTTCCAGTTTCTCAGCTGGTTTTGACTGTGGCCAATGCAGTCTCAGATAAAACAGGAAAAATGGATCAACCTCCTCTCCTCTTGCTTTTTTTTTTTTTCTCTAATAAGAGGAGGGATATTTTCCTTACCCTCTTTTTACTGAGGTCTAGGATTCAGACCACTCCTCCTCACCCCACTGTTTCTAAATTGGAGTGTTTTAATCCAAGCCATCCCCTGAGAGTTTATCCAATTGCTATGCCAACATGAAGATTTGTGGTTAGCCTGTGCTTTGAGGGGTTGGGGGAGGACAAGTGTACGGCTGCTCTGTAGGGCACAGTACAGGAACTAGCCTTTACAGTGGGACTAGGTCGAGTGACAAAGCTGTTTTGTGGCCAGGGAAACAGTTTGGTGGTATTAGCTGGGGAAAGTCAAGTCTTGGGACCCCTTCTGACAGCAGCTGAGCTTGACTGGGTTAGGAGCTCAGCAGGGTGATGAGAACAGATGTGTCGATGTGGATGCACACAACTCTGTGTACCTAGGACTGCCCAGCCTCCTAGGCTGTCAGAGCAAATGGGTTCTAACTAGCACTTGAGCCTACAGAGCTGCCTCCTACTGCGCTGAGCCTGACTTCAGGGATGAGTATTCATAACATCCAGAAGCAACCACCTGGGTGTACACAGAGACCAGCTGTCTCTGAACCAGATCCCCTGCGGGTCTGTGCTTCCCTCGAGGCCAAACCCCAGCCTGTTTTCTTCCTCTTTTAAAAAGCTATGTTGAAAAGTGGAAGTGTTGCCTAGAGCCCTGGAGCTCTAGGGAGACTCTAAACTGCTTTATTCTCTCAACCCAGCCCCATGGGTCTCCTCTTTCAGGCTGAGATGCCTGGGCCAGGAAAGCCCTGGATAGCCTGATCATACAGAAGTTTCACCTCCCCCATGTGCTTATTTCTTTGCTTCAGAGAATCAGCAAGAAATGAGAGAATTTGGCATGTTTTTAAGAGATTCTTATTTCAAGTGAAGAACAAAAACTGGGAGGGAGCCTCCAGACCTAGTTGCAGGTAACAGCACAGGGTTCCGGTGGGCCCGCTGGGGAAGCTTTATCTGTTTTGCCTTGGTGGCCCTTTGCTGTCACTCAGTACTGCAGCAAAGCATTCCCCATGTGTGTGCACTCGTGCGCAGAGGAACTGCAGGGACAATCTCCAGCTTGTCTGCATTCACAGCTGCAGGCAGGTCTTGATTGCTGTGAATCAGTCTGTCTCTTCTAGTTTAATAACTTTCTCCTTCTTTCAGTGAGAAGGGGAACGAGAGAGGCGCATTCAGTGCCTGAGCGCTCTTGTCTGTAATCCCTCCCATGCAGTATAGCCGGCTGCTTAATGCAGAACTGTAATTCTTCTGGGAGGAATTTCTCATCTGTGAGGAACGCAGCTGGAGGAATCCCATGGTCCAGCAGTCATTCTGCTGAAGTGGGATCATGGATTACTGGTGACAGTCACATGGTATTTGCCCTGTGCTTTGGCTGGCAGGGGCTAGAGCAAGGCACAGATCAACTAGATCCTTAGGGGAGAGCTTAAAACTGATGCCCCACCTTCTTACCTAGAATGATGGGATGTCACACGGTGGGGATAACATTCTCTTTCCTGTACACCTCTGTCTGCATATACAACCTTCACCACAGTGGAAATTCAGTCACAGTGATACAGTTCGGTTATGTTTTCTGTGAGTTCGTCACAGTTGTCTCTAGGGAACCTGGTACGGAGAGAGTTGGAAGAAACCCGAGTTTCTCTCACTGATATTTTGTCATGATGGTTATGGTTATATTGGACTTACAACATGTAAGGCATAGCTACTTGTTATTGTAATGCCTTCAACTTCTGGAAACATCTGTCTTCCGAAGGAAAGAAACTAGAATTTGGGTTGCAAGCTTGCTCATCATTTTCCTGGTCTCCCATTTAGGTTGTTGGCTTTAGCTGAAGCTTCTGGTTGGTCGTATGTAGGTGATGTTGTCACCCTGTGACCTGAGAATGTAGATGACTCTTTCATCTAAGTGGCAGCAGTGAGCAATTACCACTTAGGATATGAAGTCTTCATGAGACAGGCCACCTTAAGTAACTAAGTCAAGGCTACTGACCCTCCAGTAAGCAGCTGGAATCCAAACACACAAACCTGATGTATAGTTTGTACCTGCCTGTGAAGGGTCTTACGTATGGAGGTGGTGTAGCTGGAAGATAGGTCAGCGGTTGTCTCTTCAAGGTGGTGGCTCTGTGATACCTCCCTGTGTTTTCTTCTTAGTTTTCTAAATTTGCAAATGGTTTTTCACGAGTCTATTTTGTCATGGAAAAAATAAACTTAGATAGAAAGTCAGATCTATCTCCCATCAAGATAATTTTAAGTAAAATATCAAAACATTTTAGTGATCTAAATTTAGATTTGTTTAAGAGCTTTAAAGATCATCTGGCCCAATCTTCTCGTTTTACAGGAGGCCTTAGGCTTATCTAAGTTTATACAGGACTGGAACCAAGATTTGGGCACAGTTCTGCTGACTTCTTATCTCAAAAGAACTTTCCATAGGACATTTAAAAGTTGTTACACCAGTGAATAGTAATTTATAGACTACTTCTTTTTTTTTTTTTAGTCATTTTATTTTATTATTTTATTTTATTTTTTTGTGGAACTGGGGATTGAACTCAGATCCTTGCACTTACCAGTCAAGCACTTATTCTACTGAGCTATCTCCTCAGCCCCAAGACTACTTCTAATGAATATAAAGTATTACAAAAACTCTCTACAAGAAATATAAACTGTGATTTAACAAATGTTGAGCAATAAGGTAAGAAAGGTGAAAAATCTGCATGGAATAATATTTACTAATATGGCACGTTTTGGGAGAGTATTAGGCAGAGCAGGTACTATCCATCCTCCGGTGCTTAGTCACCTTAAAAATTAGTGTGTTGAGGGGCTGAGGATGTAGTTTAGAGGCAGGATGCTTGCTTAGCATGCACGAGGACTTGAAGTTGGATCTGTGGTGTGGCAAAGAGAAAAAAAAAAATCCCATAAAAATGAATGCATTGCATATGATGGAGTGAGGCAGGTAAGCTGGTAGGAGTGAAGAAAAAGAGAATCCTGGAGGCCTTATTTTTTTCTCCCTCTCTTTCTTTCTCTTTTTTTTTTTTTTTTTTTTTTTGGGCAAAGTCTCACTATGTTGTTCAGCCTGACCTTAAAGTTACTATGCAGTCCAGGCTGGTCTCAGTCTTGAAGCAATCCTCCTACCTCAACCTCTCAAGTGCTGGGATTACATGTGTGCACCCCCATGTTTAGCCCTACTTTGCATATTTTGTTAGTCTCTGGTGTCCATCTATCAGGGCTGAATTCCATAACTGCAGAGCACCAAGGACCAGGACAGGATTTTTCTCTTATGAGCATGTGTGTGTATGTGTGTGTGTGCACACACGTGTGCGTGTATGTATGTATGTGTGTGTGTGTGTGTAGATCGAACCCAGGGCCTTGTGCATGCTAGGCAGGCACTTTACCATTGTATTGCACCCCCAACCCTCTTAACTCTTTTTAACTTGGAGGACTGAGTGTGACCACGCAGTAAAATTGATGCATCTGGTGACCAAACAGGCGCAGGATACTCGGCTTTTCTTCATTGGCAAATTGACTTCCAAGTGAGCAGTGCAAAGGCTTTGGAGGGGGGGAAGAGACAAGAGGGAGAAAGAAAAATTTGGTTAGATCCCCAAGA